TAGGACACTGCTCAGCTGGGCTTCTCCCCAGTAGACAGTAAGACATCAAACAGAGGCAGCACAGCACTAATCCTATATGTTACGAATGATTGACAGCTAAGTGCTCAGCTGTTGTCATGGTAACAGAAATCGAACAAATGTTGCTCCACATACATCTGTATAGAATATGTGTATGTGGGTTACTAGTTCAGTGAAAATGAGAACTGTGAGTTGTGCTGTACCATGTTGGACTGCACCCTCTTGCCGTTTTTGGAGCCCCGCTCGTAGATATACTCTCCAGCCTGGTTGGAGCCCACAAAGCTGATGGCTTTGATTGCTGGATGGTCACAGATGAAGTTCACCGCTACACAAAAATACAAACAGATGTTAAAACTCTTCAGCATCATCAGTGCTGCCTCTGTAAATGAGCACTGAGGCCTTGGATACACACAGTCAAATCCTCCAGCCTAAACACTTATAAATTACTAACTTAGATATAGGCTGCATATATTATGGTAATGTCCCATCTGCATATTGCCAGGGGGATTATGTTTGAATCATCAGTGAACCTTTCCCCACTGTTTATCGCACACAAACTGTGTTTCTGAATGAGCAGGATGACACACACCCACGCACACTCACCTGCATGCTGGCCGTGGATGATGTTGAGTGTACCATCTGGTGCCCCGGCATCCTGAAGCATTTTAGCCAGGAGCATGGTGCATCCTGGGACCCGTTCAGAGGGCTTCATCAGGTACGTGTTGCCGCACACCATGCCAATAGGGAACATCCACATCGGAATCATGGCGGGAAAGTTAAATGGGGCAATGCCGGCACACACTCCGATGGGCAAGCGGTAGGTGTAAGTGTCCATGTCCTTGGTGATGGAGGGTAAGGTTTCCCCCAGCATGAGGGACGTAATGCTGCAGGCGTGCTCGACCACCTCTGAGGGTGAAATAAAAAAAGAAAGGATGAGGATAGATAGAGTGCAAATAAAAACAGATTCAGAACAAAACTAGAGTTATAGATCAATAGAAGACATTTTTATACAGACAAAATATAGAACAGTTTGTACTTTGGCCTCTCACCTAGTAAAACCTGTTAATTTATTTTTTCCCCCACTGTGAGAAAAAAAAACTTTGCGCCACATGTACTGTCGGAATCTAATTCTGGCAGCACGCCAGCAGATGTAGCATGTCTGTCAGCTAATAAGTTGAAAGAGAGCATGCCAGACTTATTTGGGCATCCCAAAACTGGGAGCTGTACCAAGTACAAATAAAGTCTTGTAACAAAAATATATCCTCATTTATTTGCTAGTGCATTTGGCTCTTTTAATTTTTAAAGATGATTCTAGTTGATGCGCAACTGCCAAAGTAAGCAAGTGCATCAGGGTGAGGGGAACTGCATAATTATCTTTATATAGCATGCAACTGAAGGGGGAGTTTGCAGTGCTTTACTGAGGAGGCAGAAAAATAAACAAGCTCGTCACACTTTATTGTCAAAACTGAGAAATGTAATGCTGCAGGAATAATATTATGTTAACCCTTGTTAATGAAGTCACCTTTACACAGTGCCAGGTACCAAGATTTGGAAATAGAGTTGATGCATTACTTACGCAGTCCTCTGAATACATCTCCCTCTGCATCAGCCAGAGTTTTACCCTGCTCCAGGGTGATGATTTTAGCCAGTTCTTTCTGGAAATATAAGGAAAAACTATTTCAGACATCAGGAAATAGATTTAAGTCCCCCCCCGCTCCAAAAAAAAGCATACATTTTCTAGCTCTCCAAATTTCCGATAATATGGACCGCATTCAGACCTAGTATTAACATCTGATCACAGGTGGTCAGCACGTGTGTGGCCACTTTCCTTTCATTGTGTGAACATAAATACGACCCATTAATTCTGCATTTTACAATGATACAGCTGTTGACATGTGGAGGAGACGAGCCATTTTTCGTTTAACTAACAACCAAAGGCTTCCTATTGTACATGAGTGGTCATGTGATATGCGTTTTCAGGCATGTTGGTAAGGATGGGTATTAAAACTCATACTGACAACCCTTGCCTGGACAGATGTAAAAAAACATAGTAGTATGGCTGTAGCCTCAGACTGGATGGAAACATTATTGAATCTTTGCAAACAGAAATGTTTATCTCTCATGGCCGATCTAAACACGGCCATGGAAACACAACAAGCAGTCAGTTACTCTGACAGATGCACGAGAGTGAGTGACAAATGCTTCTTACAATGTTGTCCTTGATGAGCTGCTGGTAGCGCAGGAAGACCTGCTGCCTGCTGAGGATGGATGTCTCCGACCAAGACTCGAAGGATCTGGAACAGGAGTCTGCAGCTGCCAGCATCTCCTCCTGGGTCGCTTTGGGAACACGTCCCACCACCTCATTAGTGGCCTGAGGAACAGGAGACAGTCCACACAGACAAGTTGACTCAGAGCAGGGGGGAAAGTCATTACTTATATTGCTGCATGTACATTAATTCATTAATATTAATTACCAAATGTTTGTTTTCTATCATTTATAGGTTTTTAATGTGATGAAAACAGACATCTGATCATCACTTCCTTACCAGAGGCTTATACTTGACATGGCTGTGCATCAACAGTGCAGGACTATGATGATTTAAAACATGACTAACTTTCTTTATAAATTAGGTTATTGGAAATTCATCAAGATTTTCTCCTCTCTTATGTATTTAAATTCTTAATACAAAACTGCACTTGTTGTTTGCAGCCAGCCTTTAGTAGAGATCTTGTTACTGCAGCTTCTGTGCAGGTTGGATATCGTGCATCTAAGAATACTCACAGGGTTGTGAATGTCGAGCCATTCAGACGTGTTGGACTCCACAAATTTGCCATCAATGAACAGCTTGGTGGTGGGCTAAAAGGATCACAGAAGCATATGATTAACCCGCTTCCCTTCTTGGTTCCATCATTAATTTAGTTAACTGATGACCTCTAAATCACCACTACATCTACAGTGGCTTTCTACAGCATTCATTTTAGATCTCTGCACTTTCTGTACACCAAGTTCTGTAACTGGTTCATTTTTCAATTCAAGTTTTCCTGAGAAGACATTTCTGGGCTAAGTCTTGCTGATTCAGAAAGTTTTCTATGCTACATTAGCTGCGTCCCAGTTCCACACCACACTTCTACGCAGGGTTTAAGTAAGTGGAGCATATGCTTTGGGTGATCAAATACAGTGCACTAAAAAAAAAAAAAGTGTTTCTTCATTAGATCCTTAAATCTGATTCCAAGACCCAGGAAATTCCAGTTCAATAAGTTTCTCATGTGACCAAATAAGCATGAAAATGGAAAACCTTGCTAATGTCCCCCATAAGTAATCTAAAGAGTCAAATTAATGAGCTCCAGAGAAATGTTAATTATCTAGGGTCTGTCTATGAGGTTTTGGCTGAGGCTTTCTTAATTTGAAGTTTGATTTCTGACATTGCAGTCAGGCAGATGTGTCCCTCATGTCAGTATAAAACATGTTGACATATTGACCCTCTCTGCACAACATTATACCAGGAAGGTAATTGCATTGTAGACTGTCAGTTAGTAGTTGGGAGTCAAGACCCAGGAATTGACTGTGCATTGCAGTGAGCGCACAGTGTAAAATGAGACACTTCTGTATACAGATTTATTGATTTACACCTCTAACATGTTACAATGTGAGTGCATTGGACTGCAATGCTAATGGGAAGTGGGAACTTAATTTAAATGATCCTTTTTGAACAGATGAGAATGCACCAAAGACACACTGAGATCAGAACACTCAGAGGTGGTGTGGGCTGCACATACATGTGCCATTAAAAATCTAAATATGGAGATATGTCAAGTCAAGACCGACTGATAAACACCACCAATATAATCTGCCTTAGTGTCACAGATACATCAATATGAGCAACAAGGAACTGAAGCATGGACTAAGAAATAACTACATGTGGTGTAGTTTTGAAACAGGTCACCATACTGTTAAACCAATGCTGTGATTACTACACCATCAGATATTGATATTGCCATTAGAATAAAAGATCCAGCATCAGTAGAGCTGTAATCCTGAAGATGATCCGACACAACAGGGTTTTCAGAGCCATAATATGGACATAATACTCAGCCATGGTGGGTTATGAAAGCTGCTGAGTCTCTTACCACTGAAGAGGAGGAGTAACACATACGACCCAGCTGGATGTGGGCCTGCGAGGAATAAAACACCACAGCGTTAGTCCACTTCACTTCTTACTGAACTCAGGGTCAAAGGTCTAATGTGCAACTAGTTATCTGTCCTGTTAAAGTGACGCCAACAACACACACAGGGGCACACACATGACATACTTGCAGAACAGCGTGTGAAGCAGTGAAATGTTAGCTATAGCATTTCAGCTTGTTAGCTAGTTGCAGAAGCGTCAGAACAAACTCAACTTTTCAGCAAAAGGGGGGAATGAGTCTGCTTTACCTTCTTGCTCAGTAGCGAGCGGAGAAGAATGGCTGCCATTGTTTCGGTTTATGTTTCTGGTTCCCTGCTCTGAAGCCCTTCAACCGACCCACGCGACACGGACAACTTCAGCTAGCAGAGGACACGGCTGCAGGATTTACACGCTGAGCTTTCACTCGATCTACAAAACATGACAAGTGCGGAAGTGCCCCATTAGCAGCGGCGCGTATGATTTGTTTATCCGCGAAAGCTGCGCGAAGTGCGGTTGGCTGATTTCGCTCGGGGGAGGGCGGGACGAAGCGGGATCAGAAGCCAATCGCGTCTCGCAATTCCCCAGCCGCCCTCTATTACACGAAGCTGATTGGCTGCTGCTCCAAACCAGGACTCGACTCTCTGATTCTTGAGTTTTTAGTTTTAAAAACTACCTGATGAACTTCAGCGTGAAAGAATCTGACGTTTTCTCAATTAAGTCCAATTATTACAGTTTCTGATGAATTCACAAAAGTCTGTTTGGTTTGTTAAGGAAATATTTGCTCGCACCTAGTAGCAGGTAACAGTTTCTATGGCAACACGCTTACATGCAACATGGACTTCCTACAGTGGAGCTGTCATGATGTTGCCAGGTGGATTGAGTCTATAGGATTTCCACAATACAAAGTAGCTTAACGCTCACTTGATTAAGGATGTATTGTATTATTATTATCAATATTTCACCTCACTGACTTTACTGCTCGTTTCTGTTTCAGGCATGTTTCACGGACAACTTCATCACTGGCAGGAAGCTCATCTATGTAAACTGTATCCACCTGCCAAGACTCGGAATCACAGATTTTAAAGACATGCAGGTATTAAGAAGAATAAGTATGTTATTATGGAGCCTTGTTTGCATATCAAAGCTGCAGGTTCACACATTGATCAAGGGAGCTTCATCAGGCTGAGCCAAAGCTGATGATGACACTTAAGATCATCATCGTCACCATCTGGAGCTGTAACAAGTGATGGTGACTTTATGTTAATTTAGTCATATTTTTCATCATAACTCGTTGAGTAAATATAACAAGCTCTCATTGCAACTTGTAGCACAGACATTGTTACTGGTTTTAACCAATTAAAAGTGAAAAAACAACAAGTAGACTAACCTATAAAGCAGAAATTATTCTGTCACGCCCATGGACTGGCCCCAAAAGTGAAGCAAAAGCATTTAGATCCCGCTTAGTGGCTGGCTGCAGTATAGGTCATAAATCCCACCTCCTCCATGTTAGGAGATGGGACATGTCAAAGTACACTTCAATTTTCTCAAAGATGATTTCTGTCATCTTAGATAACTACTATCCTGCTAATGTATGTCTCTGATTTAGTTTGGTTGTAATTAGTTATGTAATGACATAAACATGCTGAGACATCATGATTGACAGCTGAGACTGACCTTGAGATTCCATTCTTAATCCTGACTGCGCAGACTCTGGCTCCAAATGTGTGTCATGTTCATATCCAGGATCATTTTGCTTCATTCTGGACAGCAGGAGGAAGTGGAGACACATTTTCCATCTTTATTTACAGTCAATGTTTACACACTGTACTGTATTCTAAAATCACCCTCCACTGAGCTTTGAGTGATCTGCAAACACTAGAAAAATGGTATCTAGCCTGTGTCGACTCATCCCATTTGACACTTGGGCATTTTTTCCTTTGAAAAGTGTGACTTCCAATTACAGTTGTATTTAGTAACTGAGCGTCAGTGCCAGTGAACACCTCAGATCAGCTCTATCACATATGTGCTTTTTACATCTCTCCCTGAAGTCAGAACTAAATTTGTGAAAAACACCTTTATGCTTTCAACTCTGTTTTAATATAGAAACATCAAACTGAACAAAAGAAAATAATAATTTGTCTCTCGTGGTAAGTGTAAACTGGAATTTTGACTGTTGATTGATATTTATTTAAACTGCAAGTCCTTTGAGGTGTTTAATTTTGGTGGTGTAACCCCATATCCTTTCTACCCATGATGCCACAGTCTCAGTGAGATCTCTCAGTGGGACTTTGTCATTAAATAAAGGTTAGATACTGTAAACATACACGTTATCAAAGGACTCACCTCTGCTGTGCGCCCCCGCAGGTCATCTCTGCTTGTGTGCGTGAGCTGCTGGGAATCACAGAGACCAGGTGGAACAGAAGCATCGCCGACCCCCTTCGGGACAACATGGGCCTGTTCCTGGAGCAGAAGAGCTGCACAGGTGAACGAGCAGACAGCCTCACCAGCCAGCAGTTCTCAGATAACACGCGTCGGAGAGAGAAAGAGCCCGACATGAATCACAACAGCAAAGGAGTGCAGTAAAAACCAAGACATGTCAGTGTCATTTCCTATCACCAACTGTCAGCTCACGATGACTCGGCTGATACACTCACTGTGGGTCACATGCAGGCCTTGACATTAACACTTCCCACCAGCAGAATGTGTGTATGCTCTTGTAATTATGACGGCAGATAGCAGGTTTTTTTTTTCAGTTTTCAGTCTGAAAATCATGTCTGGAAATCTACAGACTGCTGGTAGGACCTCACAAAGCAAATGGAACAACAAAGATGTCGTCACACATTTATCAGTGACTCTGAACCCACAGCACACTCACATGCACTATGATAGAGACCTCTTGTTCTGCATAACTATGAATTCTCAAACCATTTGGCTATTCCTATTGATCTCCATGTGGATGTGTTGCAACTGGATGGAGCTATTGATCTGCAGTGTACGAATCCTCAGGGTAATTCTCCGGATGACAACCAACACCTATTTTCAATGTGCCAGGAGGCAACAAGATCAGTATAGATCATTTTTCTTGGGAATATAATTTTTGAAAAAACAACACAGACTCTGCGAGACCAAGAAGAATGCTGCAACACTACTGTAATAGACTTATGCACGTATAGACATCTTTGCCAACTTTGCACAAAAAGTCCATAGGATCATTGCATCAGATAGCGACGGGTTGAGTGCCAAGCAGACCCATGGGGAGCCAAGGCTTATGGTTTCAGCCAAGTCAACACTTTCTTGCCAATAATCTATGTAATACATGCAGGGATATCCAGCTATAGGCTGCTGTGTTTGGCTCCACAGACTACATGTAAAACATCTTATCTCAAAGAATGGGTGAAAATGTTGATTGTAACAATCAGATTATGTCTACCATACAAGCTGTGTAAAAAAACCTTAGAATCTGGATTCATGAGAAGATTACTTTTAAATATCACGTTTCTTGTAAACACCTTCAGTAAGTAAAATCGTCTTCTTACCGAACAACTTAACAAAACCTTTCCTCCATGAATTCGCTTGAAATTGCAAATTTTACTCTTTCTTATTTGTGTTTTGGAATGTTTTGTTTATTGTCTGCCTACTAATTTCACAAATATCTGTCTGTCTATCTGTATGTGGAACGCATACATTCACGGGTGTTGCAGGTGCTGATCTCTTTCATGGTTACAACATTCATCGAATCATTTCCTCTTAGCTGAATTACAGAGCTTCTTTTGAAAAGTTGAGAACTTGGGTCTGAAATCGACAACATTCTTATTCAAACTTATATACAAACCACACTTACAGTAATTAAAGCAAATTCTGTTTGATTTGAAACAATGACTTTAAAAAATCTTCACTGCAGATAAACGGGTAGGAGGAACCAAAATTTGTTTAACTTACACCATAGACTATAATAAGCTCTGCACACAACGTCCTGCACAGAAAGATAAAAAAGGGAAGCTAATGCAGTTGAATTTTAAAGAAAAAACATTGCTCATAAAATCTCAATTGCAGATAAACCAGGTAGAATGAACACAAAGTGTTCTATCATCACTCTGTAGCATAGATTGTTAAGAATGAGCACTTTACCAGTTTAGCAATTTTACTGTTTCTTATTTGTGTTTTGTTTGCATCTTAGAATCTTAGAACCTCGCTATATCCCCTTATTAGTTACTGCCTGGCTCCTGCATGTCTAAATCTGATGAACATGAGCATTTTTTTTAATTTTATATTTTGTTCTTGGAGAATATTATAGGCCCATTGCGTTTTCGTGCAGGAGGGTTGAAGCTTACATGAATAAATTATGATGCCTGCCTGTGAGATAGGCTGAGAGGCACTGCTGCATCTGTCTGCGCACACAAATGGTCTCTGTGCAACTCGGAGCGCCCCGATTACCATTCCGGGCACAGCAGCCCCCTGGTCAGGAATGGAGCCGGGTATAGGTGCTTGACAGCCAGTCAGTCCGGGGTGCAGGAGCAGGACCAGGAGGAGGAGGGGGTGAGATACGGGCTGTATTATGGCAGCAACCTTTCCGTCAATCTGGATTAACTCGCGCTGAGCTCCCGTGCGTCGCCGGCGAAAGCGACAGGAACATCTGGCCGCATCCAGCTGCATGAACGCGGGCGGCCGCTGTAGATATTAAAGCAGCCACCGTCGCTACAAAAGGCGTTTTCTCTCTCTGGAGGTGCGGATGCGCAGTGGAGGCGATCCCCGCACAGCTGCAGGCAGCCTCCGAGCCACACCGGGACCCTGCACGCTGCGTTTTCCATCTTTCCTCTTCCCAACGAAGGAGGAAAATCTGAACTGCACTCCTCTGATTTTTGAGGGCATCAACACAGAGGAGAGGGGTCGTCCTTCTACGTGGAGGCTCATGGATTTCTTGAAGGGCATCGCTGGTTACGCAGGCCACCATCACATGTTCTAGGAGCCAAGACGCGTGTTTTCGGGACACCTGAATTATTTCCCAAGAAAAGAAGAAGAGACCCCATCTTATTTTTTAAGGCAAGACAGTGTCAGTATGCTCTCAGCTCCTCTGGGAGGAAGTCAGATCAAACCCACCACCCTCCTCCACCTCCTCCTCTGACTTGGCTCGATGTTCCTTCTGCAAGGTAAGTTCAATATTTCAGAATGCCATTGGTATGAATCGCAGCAACTCTTTTGGGGAGGGGGGTATTTACTTTAAGTAGTTCTCTCAGGACCCCCCAATCTGAAGGGGTTCATATGTCCCCCTTATTGTGACATAGGGGTTGTTAAATCCACCAGCCCAGGACCCCTGCACCGCAAGGTCAGAATCTTTTTGGCCAAGGAACCACTGTCAGATAACAATTTTTATTTTTAGTCTCCACTTGCATCCTGTTCTGTTTTTTCTCTCCTACAGGTGAATGTGAGAATCTGATGGGGCCATTATTCAGCCCTCTGTTGGATGTACAAGCTGCATGCAGGATAAGATCCAGATCTCAGATGTGCAGATGTGTTTTATCGTGTCATTCTTTCCTGATCATCAGAGGATAGGCAATAATATGTGACTGTCTGTGCTCTGGCTAACCCCCTTGCTGATATGCAAATGATACATCAGCCATTAGGCAGAGATAAAGTCTAAATGATCTTAAGTAACACATGATAATATGATTAGTATGTGGGATGACTGATAAAGACAGGTGAAAATGTGATCCTGCTGATGTTTTTCTCCTCTTTCACAAAGGATGACTTCCACTGATCTCGCCTTTCGAGTGTTAGTTATCACACATCTTATTATTCATGAGTGCTCAAGGCAGCATTGCAACTGCTACAACCAGCGAAACCAGGCTCACGCCTCATTTTGCTGCCTCTATTTGCTCCGACTGCTGCGTTAATGCACTCACTGATGTAGCCTGTGTGTGCTGCTACCTTTTCAGCTGATAGCACACGCTCACAAAGGTGATGTGCGGTTCCTCGGCACCTCTGCAGACTCGCTTCACACTCACTGACCCAAATATATTCAGCTCGCCTCATATTAAGCTTTTTTGTGTTCTGGCCAAAGAAGAGTTTTTCACGAATATCTGAGATTGTTTGTCACACACACACCAGCACAGTCCTATTAGGTGCCTTTACTGTAAGACGGTCGCTTTTTTGATTACACAACAGAATGAGGGGAGAAGATTATACATTATTTAGTTATTTTGTTGCTGTGTTGGGTGGAAAATATGAGGGTCTTCGAAAAGAGGGGAAATGAGCCAGTAGGTACTCTGAATTTAGTTCTGGCTGTCCTTGTTTCCCCTCATTCAGACTGTGACATAGAAAAAAAGCCCTTGTAATTCAGACATGGTGTTATCACAAAGACAGGCAGGGATTTCAAATCTAACGTACTGTACCTGAAATTACACTTGGGAATTGGCAGATTTTGGAAATCCACAGACCTATGGGCCCCTCATGTGGAGAATATCCATTTGAATGGGATATATTGATATTCAGAGTCCATCCCAGGACATAAGCCCCTCATCCTCACACGCCACAACAAGTATTGAGATCCCTCATCAGTGATCAGCGTTCACTTCTCCTGCTCCAGTATAGACAGCAGCTCCTATAATATTGAATGGACTCCAGTAATAATATATGAAGGAAAACACTTACAATTACAATGTTGATGAACAGCTCTTCTATCGATGCTATCCTTCTGGCCATGCACACACACACACACACACACACACACACACACACACACACACACACATTTTTGTGTCTCGATGACTTCAGAGGACGTTACAATGATTTACATAGATTTCCTGGAGACATACTCTAGCGTTAGCCATAGTTACTACTTTCCTGAATCTGCCCCTTCCCTTAAATTTAACCTAAACTGAAACCTAACCTAACCTAATTTAATCTAATATAATCTAACCTAACCTAATTAAACCTAACCTAACCTAAACCTAAACCTAAACCTTAACCTTAACCTATACTAAACTTAACCTTAACCTATCCTTAAAACATGTCTTCACCTTAAAAATCTAATAATTTACATTATGGAGATTTGCTTTTTTCTCCAAGACAAGACCCCATAATGTAGTTGTGTAAACAGATTTAGGTCCCCACAACATGAGTAATACCTGGACACACAAACACCATCAATGGAGTTCTCCATTTAGGTTTTTATTACATTCAGTCTGTCCAAACACTGAATCCAATACACAATTAGTTCAGTGTACTATCTCCTCTCCTCCCATCACCTCAGTGTTATAAACTGTACAATGGCTCTCATCTGACATTTAACCAACCTTTTTTCCTCCAGATAGGACTCTTTGTTCTAAATATTTTTATAAGCTAATCTGAAAATGATCCACTGATTACATCTCACCCAAAAACTGACGTTTTCTGTGTTGCCATGGCATCAAGGCTGTCACCCAAGAGCTATCGCATTCTAACATTGGCAGACTCTGTAGGAAAAGGGTGTCACAGCACATACCCACATGCACAAACACAGATGTGTGAGTTCTACAGTCCATAACAGCATCAATATTTGGTCAGGATGTTTGGACTCGGGCTACATGAGCATTTACCTGGTAAAATAGAATTTCTACCACCCCAGTCAAAATATGATCCACTTCAGCCGATGCTGCAGCTCCATTTAGTCTCATAAAGCAGGCAGGCTGAGGACCCGTTTCACTGCTCTGTCGATACCATTTTACCATCACGTTGCAGCATCAGTTTACCTCCCTGACACAACAGAGCTTATTTTTGGCAGTAGCGCACGTCCAGCTGCCTTTCCCCGAGTAACCCAGGTGAGACGCTGCATCCCGAGATGCTGCCATGTGCCAACACGTCGACCTGAGCGGAGGAATAACAAGACGACCCCATCTCATTATCTTTCTCTCGTTCAGCTCTGCTTTCCCTGATTCCCCTGCCCAGGCGTGGATTGCAGAGGCTCTCTCACATGATCTCCAGCATAAGTTAGACCGTCTGAAAACATATTCCCTGTGACCTCACTGGCCGATTGGCATGCAGTGTGCTGCGTAAGGCTTTTCTTGGCAAATGCTACCCAAGGGAGACCATAGATATCCTCTGCTACAGTATACTGGTGCTGCTGGGCATGCATGTCTGTCTTCATAGCTGGGGGTTGTTGTGTAGTGAGCTAACTCTATTAGGGACAAATCCACCCACTGGTGTGTGTGTGTGTGTGTGTGTATGTGTGTGTGGGTGTGCTGTCAGTCTGTTCTGTTCTCTGAGGGTGAAAGACCTGCTCAGAGGTAGTAAACGAACATTTGATTGACTAAGAAGGGGATTATGCTTAATGCATCAGTAGA